CGGCTGCAGGTCGGCGACGAGGGACTTGGAACGGATGTCGATACCGACTGCACATTTGCACAGGGGGCAAGAGGAGGGGGAAGGCGACCAGGGAAAGGTCAGTGCGACTGGGGGCGGGGAGGCAGGAAAGCGGGGTCGGGGAGGAAGGGGAAGGGGAAGATGACACGCACGCTGGCGCATCTTGCCAGTAGTCCAGTTAGTCAGGTAGCGGGGGAAGACCCGGCCCATGTTGCCCTCCTCCGGGAAGACCTGGGTCACCTTGATGGGAGCCTCGCCATTGGGGGTGCGCTGCTGCGCCAGGGCGCAGGCAACCTCCGAGCCAAGGAAGCTGCCGCCGATGACGACGACATGCTTCTGGGCCACAGGGGCGGCCGGGGTGGGAGCGGAGGCGGCACTCTCGGCCTCGGCACCCTCGGCCGGGGTGGTGGCAGCAACGGCGGCCGCAGCGGTGGCCTTGGCATCGCCGACCAGCTTGGTGTACAGCTTGCGGTAGTCGGCCACCGTGCGCAGGGTGGTGACATGCTGCTTGGCATGCTCGGGCAGGGCCTTGGCAGCCGGGAGGGTGGCCGGAGTACCACCGGTGGCCAGGAGAACCTGGTCGAAGAAGACCTTGCGACCGTCGGCCAGGAGGACGAAGCGCTGCTTCAGGTCCAGGTCGACAGCGCGCACGCCGTTCAGCAGGACAATCGGCGTGTCACCCTTGGCCTTGAGGGAGGTGTAGTAGGTGGGCGGCTGGTAGTGGAGGCTAAGATGGGCCAGATGGGAGGGATGGGTGAGTGGAGCCTCGCATGACAGGCCAGTTGGCAGAGGGGTTTAGCCCGAGGGAGGGAGGGAGAGCGAGAGAGAGAGAGAGAGAGAGAGGGAGGGGCACGGGACGAGGGGGGAGGGGACAAAATGCAGTTGGCGTACGTCACATCGTTGCCGGCCCAGTCGCAGTAGTTCAGAGTGTCGACGACGTCCGGGTCCTGGCTGAACCAGAGCTCCTTGGTGATGGGGGGCCGAGCGTAGGGGACCTCGACATCCTCGCCAATCATGATGATGACGGCAGTCGGGTCGCGCTCCATGATGGCCGCCGCGGCAGAGTAGGAGGCGGTACCGGTACCAACAAGAACATACTTGGCCCGGAGGTTGCCACCGGGGAGGGTGACCGCGTCGGCGTACGGGTTGGCCGGCGGGGCAGGCGGAGGCGGAGGGGTGGTGACTGAGAGGGGGTCAGTGTGAGGGAAGGGCAAGAGCAGGGCAGCGGGGGGGGAAGAAGGAAGGGGGCCAGGAATCGGGCCAAGAATGTGATGAGGGTCAGAGCGCACCCTCGGGCTTGTCCTCCAGGGCCGCGGTGGCAGCAGCCTCGGCGTCAGACACCGGCAGGACCGGCTGGACCGGGGCGGCGTCATTGTGCAGGGCAAACTGGCGGAAGAGGGCACGAGGGCCGGGGCCGGTGCTGGCGGTGGTCTCCTTGATGGAGGTAGCCTTCATGGCCAGGACGGACGCCTGGAAAGAGCGCGGGCGAATGGGCAAGGTGAGAAGGGATCCGCGAAGGATGGCCACATGCGATCAGACGCTGACGTACGGAAGCCGCGACGGCGGCGACGGCGGTGAAGCGGGAGAACATGGCCTCTTGCTGGTGCGAGGGGGCGGGGGAGAGAGGGAGAGAGAGGGAGAGAGAAAGAGAGAGAAAGAGAGAGGAAGAGGGGACACGGGGCGAGAGGGGAGAGGAAGAGGAGGGAACGTGAGCCCGGAGCTGGGCTCAACAGAGGATGTTTTAGGCCAACATGACGGCCTGCCTGGCGACGCAGGGACAACACCGCTCGGAGGCTGGCAGGCGCCACGGCGATGGCCCCCATTGGCCGTGCCCGGGCCCGTGTGTATTGCGGCTGAGGAGATGGTGGGCGGGGCAGGGGCGGGCGG